GATTAGATAGATTAGATAGATTAGATAGATTAGATAGATTAGATAGAAAAGATAATATGATAGATAGATAGATAGATAGATAGATTAGATAGATTAGATAGATTAGATAGATAGATAGATTAGATAGATTAGATAGATTAGATAGATTAGATAGATAAGATAATATGATAGATAGATAGATAGATAGATCGATAGATAGATAGATAGATAGATCGATCGATAGATTGAGAGATTGATAGATAGATTGATAGGTAGACAGAGTGATAGATAGATTAGATTGGATTAGATTAGATTTGACTTGATTAGACTGGACTAGACTAGACTATACTAGATTAGATTGATTTGATTTGCTTAGATTGATTTAGATAGATTAGATTAGATAGATTGGATTCGATTAGATTAGTTTAGATTAGATTAGATTAGACTAGACTAGATTAGATTAGATAGATAGATATAGTATATATTTATGAAATTTCAGTAAGTAAAGAAACAATATGTATATATATATATTTGTATTAACCTATAGAAGTGAATGAATAAATAACCTAAACAAACAGGCAAATTGGTAAATAGAAAAACAAGCAAGGAAGGAACATATAGATAGATGAACATTAAAATAACTGTATATAGATACGTACGGATATATGTATATATATATATATATACATAGATGCAGATGTAAATACATAACTAGACGAATAAAATGATAAAAGCCAACTGCGTGCAAAGTTGGGCCCAAGATGGGTTCGATGGGTTGGCGTCACCATACGGTCCTTGAGGAGGGCGCAGTTAAAAGAGACATAAATAAGTACACTGTAACTATAGCTATATACATATGTATATCTATATATGTGTTTATACAATCTGTATAGATACCTTGAGCGTTTGATCCACAGACATCAACAGGCATCATGGCACCGGGAAAGATGGAGCTGTGGCCGCTCTTGGAACGAAAAGAGCTGCTTCTTGATGCTGATCAAGATTATCAAGTTGCTTTCCAAGCTAGCCATTTCTTTTGTTGTGATGTGCCATGGTCTTCTTGACACATTTTGATACACTTTGCAACTGTGACAGCCAAATTCAAGCTTCATTCCAGATTGTGACAGCCCTGCGCATTCCGAACCGCAGCTGTTTCGCCCAATCGGTGCGCTGCAACCGCGCCGGCGCTGGCGCGTGCAATCAATGCTGATGGAGGAGCACGAGGCAGGCGAAGGCACAGCAGGCGAAGCAGGCGAAGCAGGCGAAGCAGGCGCCGTGACCGCGGAAAGCGTGGAAGGTGCGGAAAGCGAAACCGAGGCAGAGATGGAGGAGTTAATACTCCGGATACCCTTGGAACTTCATGTGGCAAGTGATATTTCTTTGTACGATTTGCAACGGATGGTCTCAGCAAGACTGGCAGAGGCGGACTTGCTACCGCGACAGGACCCAATGTCTAT